TAATAATTTAAATGAAAATAAAAATTTTAAGTATTTTTACTGGTGAGTATTACAAACAAGAAATTTGATTTTTTATTTTAATTGAATTTATGCTTGTTTATTGATTATAAAGTGTGTTATTATAAACAACATTTCATTTTGGTGCTATTGATTATTATAAATATATTTGTATATATTTGTGTATGTTGTCTATCTCTGTCTACTCAAATGTTCTTAAGTATTTGACGAGCAAATTAAACTTCTATTTCTACATAAACTTTAAGTTTTACTTTAATCATCTTTCATAGTCAGCCCACACTGCTCGAAGACATTTGAACTATCGTTAAAGCCGCGTGACACGCTACCAACTCTACTTAGGAAAACAATCCTCTGCAGCGAGGAGTGTACGAAGAGTTGTTAGCCCCGGGGACTTGCAGTCAGATTAGCATAAATTCAACGGCTTGTAATTGTCAATTTATAAGTGTGCGTGCGTGTGTGTGTGCTTGTCTGCTCTGTGTGTATGTGCGTGTGTGTGTTAAACTCAGTGTCTAGATGCCGGCAATGCGACTAATGAATACATTCGCCTGACGGTCGCTGCTGCTTGGTGTGGGCAGCGGAGGGAGAGTTGGCTCCATGGGCTTGTCAATTGCCATGCAGATTGAAGCGCTTTATATGCATGCACATGTACATACATATATAAACGAATATGCGTGTGTGTGTGTGTGTGTATATGGGGGCTAGCTATAGAGACCCAATCAGCTGTTCGAAAAAGCTTTAAGCTGCTCAGAGGGCGTGTCCAGGGCGGTGTGGAGTTGGAGAGCAGCGGAGCTGTGACAGAGTTGCCAAAGTGCAAAGCCATAAAAAATGCACTTAGGCATGCGTGTGTTGCTATCTCGCTTGCACAATTAGCTCTAATTGTTTTGTAGTCACATTTGTTGCAGTTGTTGCTGTTGCCTGAAGTCACGAAATGTGCATTCAAAATGCGAAGCAGAGCGATCGCAATTATTTCGAAATAAACGCAACAGATATTATATATATATGTATGTATATATGTGCATATATATGTTTACCATTATGTATATAGATATACATCTTTATACATACATAAATATATTTTGATTGTAGTTTTCGTTTTCGTGCGTTGTCTTTGCGCTGGCTTCCGTGTTATTATATGGAAAGTGTGCAGAGGCAGAGGCAGAGCGCGTCAGCTATGAGGATACACGAATTGGCGTCCACTTGTCGCCGCGCATCCTTCTTGGCCATTAAGCTGACAAATTGTTATCGTAAACGTCAGAGTCGTAAATTAAGACTGACTCCAGACGGCAGTGCAAATGCTCGCCGTATGATAGCGCTGGCAACTTCAGCAGCCTTTCACCCACTTTGGGCCACTGGGGCAATGCATCATGCAGTTGTCAAAAAAAAAAGACCCCATTGATAGCAAAGACACAGCGAGAAGTAGTGAGAGTGGGAGAGGGAGAGAGAGAGAGAGAGAGAGAAATGGGCAGCCAGCGGGGGCAGCTGCAAAGAAAGCAGCATCAACAAGAGCAGCAGCCACAGCTACAGCAGCAGCAGCAGCAGCAGCAACCGTTGCTCCACTTTCGGCTGCGTTACGCAATACCAACTCGAATTTTGTTGTTGTTGTTGCTGTTGTTATTGCCAGACACTCCACATATACACATTGTTGGTGAAAAGCAGCCAAGACTCACAGGCCACGACTCTGGCTGTGACTGACCAGCGCTGATTGGAGTTTCATTACCAGAGCCACAGCCGCGCTGGAGAAATGCGTCTACCCGCTGTCCCTGCGCCTCCTGCTCTACCGATATGCTGTCTGCAGTGATATAAATCAAATGTCTTGAAACAATACATCAAGTGAAGGCGCTAGCCAAGACGTCGCGTCGTCGTCATCCACTCTGAGTGCATCTCGCTCGCTAATGGCCTTTGGCTGCGTCGGCTGCTGCTGCCGCTGCCGCTGCCGCTGCTGCTGCGGCGGCGAGTGCTGCTGCTTCGTTTGTTGTTGTTATTATTGTCTTTCGAGTGGCTGGAACAAATGTCAATGGTATTGACATATTCGTTACGTTTGCTCAACCGATTCCAAATCTTCAAATTGACATGAGAAACTTTTGAAATCACGTTGCATTTGGCTATGCCAGATTTAGATGCGGTTAGCTACATTTCTCCACACACAAATGGGAGAAGGGCATACACAGTCACACACACACACACTCACACATTTACTCTATTTATTTTTTGGAACGGGTTTTTCGCTTTGACATTTGTAAACACTTCCGCGTGCTCTCTTTAATTCATCTGATTTTTTTTTTTGTGTTGCTTTTTGTCTTTCGCCAGTAATTGATGGCCCCACATTGCGATTGGAGCTGATCTCTATACACGTGTGTGTGCATGTGTCTTTGTGTATTTTTTGTTACATTTAACGAGAGCTATTAGCGGCTGTAGTTTGTGTTGTTTGTTGAAGTCGATCGCAATTTGTTATCTGCGCCAATTAGCCATCTGTTTCTCGCATTTAATCAGCTCTGGCATGGCTTACATCTGAAGAATGACTTAATTATTGAAACACTTATTTAATAATGTTGTTCATTTCGATTGTCTTTAATTGCATAAGCCTGACGGATGGATTGCATTGATATTGAATTGATATTGGTTTTATATCCGTAATTAATAAGTTTTAATTAAAAATGTACTTCTATGCATACATATTACATATACATTATATTATTCCATATATAT